GATGAAAAAGAAAGGATCCTGCTCCAAGCTGTGAAAGGCATATAAATTCTGAGATTTACTTGCACTATATATTATACGAAGTTAATGAGTTACCCTGAAGCAATTGAAGATTCGAGATACCAAGCCTTACCAGTGATCCATAGATAGTAAGATAGAAGACATTTTTTCTTCCAGTTGGCAACAACTTCATTCCCTAAAAGATTAAAGAAAAAGGGTTATGAAAAACATTGCCTACAAATTTGCAAGCTAAAAACTGCAGACGAAAGCCAAAAACATCACCTAATTCCTACAAATTCATTATTGCGTGCACTAACAGATACATGTGTAACAGAAAGCCAAAAAAAAACCTACTCTTGATTTTATGCTGCACACCTAGTTTAAGAGGAAATCATAACCTAAGGGCAGAAGTTGAGCAAAGTGAAATGCACAGATCTCCCCTTTTAAGTATTTATTCGAGCAAAGTGCATAGAAAATAAGGCATTTAAGAAATAGGCAAAAAGTCATCTTTGTCCCTGTAGTTTGCCACTTTTACCACTTCAGTCCTCGTAGTTTCAATTTTTTCAATTTATCCATGTAGTTTTCAATTTTTTCAATTTTATCCTTGTAGTTTTCAATTCAAAGATATTCAAGAACACATTTCAAGTTTTGTCAAAATTCCTCCAAACTCCGTTAAGTTTTGACCACGTGCCCCTTATAAAGGGGTATTTTGGTCCACTTGAGTCAAATTCCTCCCAATTCACCAAAATTTTAATACAGAGATGCAAATTTCAACACCCTAAATCCCAAAATCGCACTTAAAGTGAATGGGAAGAGCTCTCGCTTGTATTTCACCACTAGATGGCTCAAATGAACTAAAATGCCCATCCACGTGCCCCTCACTCAAAGCTTAACATAATTTGGAGTAATTTGACAAAAAAATTGAAATTTGTCCTTAAATTGCTCCAAATGGAAACTATAAGGATAAAATTGACAAAATTGAAACAACAAGGACCAAAGTGGTAAAGCCAGCAAACTATAGGGACCAAAAATAAACTTTTGCCTAATTCAGTTTTGGGATAAATAAAAAAACTGTAGCCACAATCTCCAAGTAATGAAGTTAAGCAGAGTGCACACTGGAGATCATAATCATAAAAGCATTGGACAGATGCTCCCTTTAATTATTTACTTGAGCAGTATTTGTTATATACTGGACATAGTCAGAGACTCCAGGTTTGTGTTTCCATCCATATGCTTCTCACGCGGTAAAAGAAAAAGTCAAAACCAAACATAAATTAAATGAAGAATTGAAAGAAAGAAAAGAAAAAAAATCATTCAATTGGGCACAGATATACACCTGGGAAACACAAATAAGTACCTGGAAAAGAAGGATTATAATGATCAGAAAAACTCCTATAGCCATTGAACTGCTATAATAAAAAGGAACCCAACTGCTGACAATAGGTGCCAGCAATAGTAAAAAGAATCCCAGTGCTAGGCACACAAGGCGCCATTTCTGAGAATCTGCAAAGACAAAATTGAAATAATTATCAAAGCTTGCAAATTGTAGCATAAGAAATTGTAGTCAGCGATAAATTATTTTACTTCTGGCAGACCTTCTTTAACAGTAATGGTGACCGAACCAGGTATTTCATCATTGAACTTGACATCAATATATTTTTCATCATAAGGGGACATGACAGTGCTCCATAACTCTTTCTGAAGATTTTTCCAATTATCCTTTTCACACTGACACAGTACAAGAGAATTATTCCTGCAAACAAACTAATGAGTCAGACAAAGCAATCCACAGAAAAAAGAAAAATGAGTTGTATTTGTGAGTGTGTGTGTGTGTGTGTGTAAATATAAATATATGCTAAAGAAAATGAGTAAGTGACAGCAACAGGAGAAGGGAGGGTTAAGCAAGCATGCACTTAACAGTAAAAAGTCGTGACATTTTACTCACCTGTGAAAGCAGACCTCAATTTTGCTATACAATTTCTCTGGGATTTCAGGAGATGGAGACAAAGTAATTCGAAGTGAACTTGCATAACTCCCAAGTTTTAGCCTGGATATACCAGAAACTCGTACCCGTTCACACAATAAAACATCTTTAGAACCATAAGTAGAAAGCGGTGCTGGGCTGACATCTAGTAGTGGGTTTTCAAGATCAACACCTGTGATTTAAAATTGCTGAAAGTTATTTTGAAATATAGAAACAAACACGGGAAAGTATAAAAGAGAAAAGACACAAAGGCATCAATCAAAATCTTCGAAGTTTAATATCCATAAAAATATATTAAACACACTGTATAGGTACAAAAAATTCAAATTCAAAATCATAGCTAAATAAAGTGCAGAGATTAGTGTATGTTATTGATCTGACCCTAATAGAAACTTGAGTGGTATGGTACAATATATATGTTAAAAGACCAAATCTAGAACGAAATAATGCTAAACAATAAGTACCACTCTATTTTTAGGCCAAAATCGACATGTTTGAAACCCTAAATCAGCCAACAATTTGACACTTCACTCATGCAATAGAGAAAACCAAAAAACCAAAGCAGCATAACGGTAACCTAACTCTCCCTCTGGTTACCATGAAAGCCAAAGGTAGAAAGAAAAACGTGGAGACTAAAGCGCAGTGGCACTAATCATTTCCATAGCAAATGAACAAGCTGCAAACTATACCAAACATATGCAGAACAAGTCAAGTAGAAGCTTTCACTTTCTTAAATGGAAAGACATTAAAAGAACAAACGCACATAAAAAAGTCACTGATTTTCCTGTATTTTCTCAGAAACCAAGCAAGCGACCAACCATCTACACTATGAAAACCGAATACAGAGGGAAAGAAAAGGACGACAGATACCTTTGATAGCGCCGTCGTCAGTGGCGAGTGAGAGGGTCGAAAGAGAGAGACAGAAAGTGAAGAGAAGGACAAGAGTGGCGGAGGAAGGAGAGCCCATTGCATCGCACGCTCGCGCTACTCTCTGCTCTCCGAAAGAACTTCCGCTCCAAGTCCCCTTCTCTTTTTTTCTTTTCGTAATATGCGCCTATGGGCTGTGGGCTAATTTTCGAGCAATGCTGCCTCAACTTACTTAAGAGGAGGATTTTAGGGCATGTTTACATATATCATACTTGGAGTATATAAAAGTTTCCTTAAAAAAACAAACAGGAGTATATTATATATATATTCTTCTTCTATTGAGGGATCCTCAAATAAATTATTTAAGAGACATCCTTTAGGATATCCTAAATTTTTTTTCCCTATGATCCAAATCATCTATTTTTTAGGTCTTCATTCATAGATCATCTTTACAAAAAATTAGACAAATCAGAAACCATTTCGACATCCAATTGTGTCTTACAAAATCAATGAATACGGTGCTTTAAGAAAGTACTAAAATTTCAATAACTCAAATGAGTGGTCAAATGATATCGGATTCAAGTAATTTTTTGTAGAGATGATCTTTGAATGAGTATCTACAAAATATACGATTTGGATTAGCGAAATATAATTCGCAGTGGGTCCTACAAGGGGTGTCCCTCAAATAAGTTTATTTGAGGAATCTCTCAATAGAATTCATAGATCATCCTTATAAAAAATTAGACAAATCGGAAACTGTTTCGACATACAATTGTGTCTTACAAAATAAATGAACACAGTGCTTCAAGAAAGTATTAAAATTTCAATAACTTAATTGAGTAGTCAAATGATATCAAATTCAAGTGATTTTTTGTAAAGATGATCTTTGAATGAGTATCTACAAAATATATTGTTTGGATTAGTGAAATACAATCCGGAGTGGGGCCTATAAAAGCACTTCCACCAGTTAGCCCCTTGCCATGGCAAGAGGAGCCCTAGGGCAGTTACTATTCACGTGAATAGTGGCTGCCCTAGCTCCCCCCAGCAAATGTGTGTTTCCAGCAGTTAGCTCCTTGCCATGGCAATTACTATTCATTTTTTTTGTTTTTTTCACAACTTTGTTTATTTAAACAATTAATTTGGATAAAAATTTCGGATAAGATTTTTGGGTTCCTACGTGTCAATACTATTCATATCGGATAAGATTTTCGGTTTCAAATTTCAGATAAATTTCAGATAAATTTCAAATTTCAGATACATTTCAAAATTCAAATTTGAGATAAATTCAAAATTTGAATTTCAGATACATTTCAAAATTCAAATTCCATATACATTTCCAATTCCAAATTTCATTTGCATTTCAAATTTCAGATAAAATTTTCATCCTCTAAAATTGCGCCACGTGTTATCTCTATCTGTCTAAATTTTTCTATAAAACCAGAGGCTCAGCTCATACCTCCCACACCATATCTTCTCTACATCTTCATTTCTCATATTTTAGATTTCATTTCTCAGATTTTAGATTTCATTCTCCATTCTCAATGTCAAACATGGAAGATGTTTTGGATAGGCAAGAGCGAGAAAGGCGAGCAAGAATGCGCAGAAGAGTTGCAAGCAAAAGGGCACAGAGAGAACTAGATGAGCAACTTGGTGTGGCCGTTGCTTTGATGGAGGAAGAAAACCAGAGCCGTCGTGGTTCACGAGAAGGCCGCATCGAATGTTGGACAGACATAGACATTCTCGGGGTAAGAATCTTATGGAAGATTATTTTATCCCACAATCTCTGTACTCTGATGTTCATTTTCGAGCAAGATATAGAATGCAACCCCATCTGTTCAATAAAGTCATGCATGATATTTGCAATTATGATGACTACTTTGTTCAAAAGAAAAATTGTGCTGGAGATTTGGGGCTGCTTCCCGAGCAAAAGTTCACAGCTGTGATACGAATGTTGGCATATGGGTCATCTGCTGATCAGGTGGATGAGATTGCCCGAATGGGGAAGTCCACTATTTTGGAGAGCTTGGTGCGATTTTGTGATACAGTGGAAAATCTATACACCATGGACTACCTGTGCAGACCTACGCCCCAACGGCTTCTACAAAAAGCTGAGTCTCATGGATTTCCTGGAATGATTGGTAGCATTGACTGCATGCACTGGCAATGGAAAAATTGTCCAGCTGCTTGGCAAGGGGATTATGGTAATCGGAAAGGGCAGAAAAGCATCATCCTCGAAGCAGTTGCTGGTTTTGATACCTGGGTTTGGCACGCCTTCTTTGGAGTTGCCGGCTCTCAAAATGATTTGAACGTCCTGGGTCAATCCCCGGTGTTCAATGATATTTTGAGAGGTGAATGCCCAAATATCACATATCAAGTCAATAATACCGTGTATCAGAACGGGTATTATCTAGCTGATGGTATCTACCCGAGATGGACAACATTTGTGAAATCAATTCCACATCCCCGATCCCAGAAGGAAAATGTTGTTGCTGCCTATCAAGAGGGGTACAGAAAAGATGTGGAGAGGTGCTTTGGTATCCTTCAAGCTCGGTGGGCTATTGGCCGATTATTTTACGAGGAAGTGCTAAGAAGTATAATGATGACTTACATCATCCTCCACAACATGATTGTGGAAGATGAGTATGATTACGATGTTGATGTGTGTATGAGCCAGATCCCATGAACACGACCTTAACACGAATTTATGAAAAACCTATGGGGCCAAATGGAGAACCAGTGCAGCATGATCCGTTGGTTAGAGACGGTACTTTCATGCATCGTATGATTGAGCGCTACACGGAGATGCAATCGTCGTATATTCACGAACACCGTCAACTTGACTTGATGGAACATTTGTGGGCGGTGAAAGGCAATACTCAAATTTTAGAATTCATACTCCATTCTCAATGGCGGACATGAGCGAGGTCTTGGAGAGGCAAGAGCGAGAAACTAGAGAAAGAAGGCATACACGAACTGTAGGCAAAAGGGCACATAGAGAATTAGATCAGCAAATTTTCATAGCAGTGACTTTGCTTGATGAAGAAAACCAGAGCCGCCGTGATTTAGTCAAAGAAAATCAATACAGCTAATAAAATAGAATACATGAATTATAACTAATTTTTAAAACAAAACATTAAAATACAATGAAATGAAAGGCAAGCAAACTAATTTAATGGTACAATGAAATGAAAGGCAAGCAAACTAACTTAATTGTTTTGATCATTTAACCAATCCGTGTTGCTAGGTCCATCGTCACGAAAAAGTCTTCATCTCATAACATCCCTTCGTTCTAGCTTCCAATATTATTTCGTTTCAGGGGACATATGAGTTGTATCCATGGCCATTGTTTCCCGATCCTTATTTTCAATCTTTTCTTGGCGTGCATACTCCCTTTCTTGGCGTGCATACTCCCTTTGTTGGCGTACATACTCCCTTTCTTTTGCATTTTCTACATCAATTGCCCTATCGTGCTCTTGTTGTTTCATGTCCATTTCAATTCTCATGGCTTGCATCTTTGAAAGTTCCT